TCACTTCTTCGGATGCATAGCTATAGGTTTTTACTCACGAAAGCTTATGCCCAAATAAATCTGTTAGTCTTTAAGGTGCCACCAGACTCCTTGTTGTTTTTACAGTTAACGTTTCCCATTTTAACCTATTCCTTGATTGTATTTGGCATCCTTTGTAGTTGCTTTATAACCGTGCTGGTATTGTATCCTTTCTTTTAATAGATTAATTGAGAAGACTTGAACATTTCTTTTTATTTGTTGATGGGATGAGGTTTATCATACAAAATTGTGCTAGTGCTAAGTAGTGCTGTGCAATTCTGACAAAACTTACTATAATCACTTGTTTATAATATAGATTAAGTTTCAGTCTTTGACTATCCTAAATATAAAGCTCTTGGGTTGATTAAACTTTCCAAGAACAATATTAACTTTCTCTCATAGGATCTGATGCAACTCACCATTGATGTCAGTGGAAAAATTTCCATTAACTTCAATGAGAATTGAACTGGGCCCATGCAGATGACTTCAACCATTTCAGTCTCACAATCCTCAAAATCTACAGATTTAGACTTTGGAAGAATGTGAGGCAGAAGCTGTTTTAATGGTGCATGTACGCTACTGAGTACACTGTCCATGCATAACAAAATATGATAATCTTTGCAAGCAGATGTATTAGAGACTTAATTTTACAATAAATTTGTGGATTTTCCACAATAATGGCTTCTTTTTGTCTCAGCTTTTAGTGGAATGTAGATCTGTAATTACAGAGAAGTATTACTAAACATTAAATGCATTTTCTCTGCTTCCAAAATATGTGGAGGGAGAAAAACGTAGTTAAAATGGGGGGGGAAAGAAGTGTGAGAAAATGTTTTAATTGCATTTATGCTCCATATTAACATCTTCCTCTTAACACTGTGCTATACTGTCTACACATTGTTTCCTTATAGTGAACATGAATATAATGCAATTCAGTTTATTATAAAGAAGAAAGAAAATCAAAAATTATTTCAGCCCATCACATTGTGGCAACTGTAATTCTGGTCAAAGTTAATATCTTGCATTGCAGCTTTTCTGTGATGAAAAATAATGACATAAATAATGACAAAAATAATTATCTACTAAAAAGAGTTTTATTTGGAATCTGCTAGAGTTTAACTTGTTTTTGCTAAATTATTTTCATTTCTTGATATCCTGACTCTTTATAGTGCTAATTTTCCAACATATTTTATGTGTTTTTTAAATATAGGCATTAAAAAATTTACAGCTATTGAATTAGAAAATGTAGACAGCAGTTCCCTCCTCTCCAACTGCAGTGCAGATAGTGGTCTCTTAGGTAAGTTATTTTTGTGTATGTCTTTATATGTAAACATATGTATTATGTGTAAGCAGTGTTTCTGAAACATTTCTTTTCAGGAAAGTGAAGGCAAAAACTATTGGAGAAAAAAGAATAAAAATGATTTTTATTTTAAATTGCGTAGATACGCTTTGGTCTGAAAGGTATATTCAATCTGCTTAGATCTAAATTTGGCTCCTGTCTTAAAATCAGTAGGAATTGAGTTCCGATTTTCAAATAATCTTTTTAAACCATCAATTTATCATCAAGAAGTGAAAACTGAACAAACCACATGTATGCATGTGTGCACACAAATATTTTAAGGTACTGCTTATCTCCTTGGAAGATCTAAGTACTCTCAACTCCTTGACTCTTCACTCTTAACACCTTGATTCCAGTGTGACGGGTTGGATCACAGAAACCCCCTTGGGAGCTGCCACCTGATGTGCCAAGACTACCCCTGCTCCTGTTTTCCCTGCCAGCTCAGGACTCCAGCACCCTGTCTTGCTGAGCCAAACACTCCAGTCCGCTCCAACACAGACCCAGGGTCTGAATCACTTGCCCCAAAGCTGCAAGTTTACTTGAAAACAGCTCACAGAAGTGTGCTTGTCTTTAGCGCTTAGATGCCCAACTCCCAATGGGGTCTAAACCCAGATAAATTCGTTTTAACCTGCATAAAGCTTATGCAGGGCAAACTCATTAATTGTTCGCCCTCTGTAACACTGATAGAGAGATATGCACAGTTGTTTGCTCCCCCAGGTATTAATACATACTCTGAGTAAATTACTCAATAAAAAGTGATTTTATTAAATACAGAAAATAGGATTTAAGTGGTTCCAAGTAGTAACAGACAGAACAAAATAAGTCACCAAGTAAAATAAAATAAAATGCACAAATCTATGCCTAAACAAACTGAATACAGATAATCTCACCCTTAGAGATGCTTCAGTAAGTTTTTTTCTCAGACTGGACACCTTCCAGGCCTGGGCACAATTCTTTTCCCTGGTACAGCTCTTGTTGCAGCTCAGGTGATAGCTAGGGGATTCTTCATGATGGCTCCTCTCTCCCCTTTGTTCTCTTCCACCCCTTTATATATCTTTTGCATAAGGCGGGAACTCTTTGTCTCTCTGGGTTTCCACCCCCCCTCACTGGAAAAGCACCAAGTTAAAGATGGATTCCAGTTCAGGTGACATGATCACATGTCACTGCAAGACTTCATTACTCACTTGCCAGCACACACATATACAGGAAGACTCACAGGTGTAAACAGCCATCTGCAGACAATGGGAGTCATCAAGATTCCAAACCATCATTAATGGCCCACACTTTACACAATTACAATAGGTCCTCAGAGTTATATTTTATATTTCTAGTTTTAGATACAAGAGTGGTACATTTATACAAATCGGATGATCACACTCAGTAGATTATAAGCTTTGTAATGATACCTTACAAGAGACCTTTTGCATGAAGCACATCCCAGTTACGTTATATTCACTTTTTACCATATTTTTCTAAAACTATCCCAGTTACATTATATTCACTTATTATCATGTTTTTATAAAACCATATAAACTGCACAACGTCACATCCAGAATAGCAACTTTTATCTGCAAAAAGGACTTATCAGAGTAGTTTTAAAAAAGATAAAATGAGAATTACAGACATTGGAAGAAGCTCAGATACTGTGTACTTGGATGATGATCTCCAAAAATACTCAGAATCAGTACTGGAAACTAAGGCTCCAGTCCAGCAAAACACTTAGTACTTACTTACTATTAAGCATGCAACCAGTCCTTTTATTAACTTGTGTTAATAAGACCAATGTTTATCCTGCAGGCCCCAATCAGGTCCCAGATGACAATGACATCCCCACAGATGGTCATAGGCAAAGAAGAGCAGCGTCTAAAGCTGTGTCACAGCAGAAGTTACTGACAGATAACAGTGATGAGGGAGACCATGCTGATAACTATGAGTCAGAGTTTGTGTCTGGTAAGTTTTCTATTATTAAATTTTTCCTATTGGATATGTTTTGAATATGTCTAATTATTCTGAGAGAAGAATATTTTCAGTGAAATGTGTACTGTTTTCAGCCTTATATACAGTACCTTTGTTCCTCTTTAATAACAAATCATTGTATTTCAGTTATGTTTCCTGATTGCATATCAAGAGACCAAAGCTAAAGGCTAGGTTTTTGACATGGTCAGTTGAGCTTATTCATCCGTATTCAACCTTCAATGTGTTTTAGCCTAGGACTCCAAACATGGTTTCCTTTTGTTCAGAATATGCTTAGAAAACCAGGTGGCAACAATAAATTGCACTCCTAGAAAAGAGATGTCAAACCTCGTATATATTTTTTTCTTCTGTTTTAGATGAGGAATCAGAGAGTGGTTCAGATTTCAGTGAGGAAGATGATGAAGACTTTGCTGCAAAAAAGAAGAAAACTAAAAAAAATAAAAGGAAAGAAATTAAGTTAAAGGTCCAAACAGAAAAAGAAAAGAACCCCCCCAAATCCAGAATTAATGCTACAGGTAAGCTTGATATAATCAGCAAAAAATACAGAGCTTGTCTAGACAAACAGTTAGTGAATATGCAGCTGGGGTGTGAATCTACAACATTCAATTGTGCCACATGCTAACTGTCCCTCTGAACCCTGCTACCATGTACTGAAAGTTCCCTAGTGCACACTGACCTATTCGCATTTCAAAGCAGAGTCATTTTCAAAAAGTGAGTGAAAAGAAGTTTCAGGTACTCTTCCTGTTCTTGAATCAACCTGCTGATTTTTGTGGTTTTACAATCATTTTTTCCTACTTAAAAAATCTGTCTTCTATTGTATGAAATACTTGCAGAAATAGGGGAAATTGACTGACAAACTGACTATCTGGGGTAATAATGAAACAGTACACAAACTGCTGTCAAATGGACAACATAAAAATGAGAAATAATTAGGGCTGTCAAGCAATTAAAAAAAGTAATCACTATTAATCACGCTGTTAATAATAGAATACCATGTATTTAAATATTTTTGGATGTTTTCCACATTTTCAAATATATTGATTTCAGTTGCAACATAGAATACAAAGTGTACAGTGCTCACTTTATATTTATTTTTATTATAAATATTTGCACTGTAAAAATGAAAGAAATAGTATTTTTCAATTCACTTAATACAAGTACTGTAGTGCAATCTCTTTCTCAAGAAAGTTGAACTTACAAATGTAGAATTATGCACACAAAAAACCTGCACTCAAAAACAAAACAATATCAAGCTTTAGAGCCTACAAGTCCACTCAGTCCTACTTCTTATTCAGCCAATCGCTCAGACAAACAAGTGTGTTTACATGTGCAGGAGACAATGCTGCCCACTTGTTTACAGTGTTACCTGAAAGTGAGAACAGGTGTTCGCATGGCACTATTGTAGTTGGCATCACAAGATATTTACATGCCAGATGTGCTAAAGTTTCATATGTCCCTTCATGCCTCAACCACCATTCCTGAGAACTTGTGTCCATGCTGATAATGGGTCCTGCTCAGTAACGATCTAAAGCAGTGGAGATTGACGCTTGTTCATTTTCATCATCTGAGTCAGATGCCACCAGCAGAAGGTTGATTTTCCTTTTTGGTGATTTGGTTTCTGTAGTTTCTGCATTGGAGTGTTGCTCTTTTAAGACTTCTGAAAGCATGCTCCACACCTCGTCCCTCTCAGATTTTGGAAGGCATTTCAGATTCTTAAACCTTGGGTCGAGTGCTGTAGCTATCTTTAGAAATCTCACATTAGTACCTTCTTTGCATTTTGTCAAATTGGCAGTGAAAGTGTTCTTAAAATGAACAGCATGAGCTGGGTCATCATCTAAGACTGCCATAACATGAAATATATGGCAGTATGCGGGTAAAACACAGAGCAGGAGACATACAATTCTCCCCCAAGGAGTTCAATCACAAATTTAATTAACACATTATTTTAACGAGCATCATCAGCATGGAAGCATGTCCTCCGGAGTGGTGGCCAAAGCATGAAGGGGCATACGAATGTTTAGCATATGTGGCATGTAAATAGCTTGCAATGCCAGCTACAAAAGTGCCATGCGAACGCCTGTTCTCACTTCCAGGTGACATTGTAAATAAGAAGCAGGCATTATTATCTCCCATAAATGTAAAGAAGCTTGTTCGTCTTAGCAATTGGCTGAACAAGGAGTAGGACTGAATGGACTTGTAGGCTCTAAAGTTTGACATTGGTTTGTTTTTGAGTGCAGTTATGAAAAAATAAATCTACATTTGTAAAGTTTCACTTTCACGATAAAGAGATTGCACTACAGTACTTGTATGAGGTGAATTGAAAAATACTATTTCTTTTGTTTATCATTTTTACCGTGCAAATATTTGTAATAAAAATAATATAAAGTGAGCACTGTATACTTTATATTCTGTGTTGTAATTGAAATCAACATATTTGAAAATGTAGAAAAACATCCAAAATATTTAATACATTTCAGTTGGTATTCTGTTGTTTAACAGTGCGATTAAAACTGCGATTAATCGCGATTTTTTTGAGTTAATCACATGAGTTAACCGTGATTAATCGACAGCCCTAGAAATAATTATTTAATCTTTAAGTTAGAGTAATTATCAGTTTTAGATGTAAAAAGAGTAAAATAAAAATGAACAGACAGAGGCATGATTTATTTTTTTTCAATTGACTGTATCCCTTAAAAAAAAAAAAAACACCAAGCAAACATAACCATGATTAATTTAGGATTTATACATTATTTTACTTTTAGGTCCTTATCGTATGATCACATCTAGCTGGGTGGATCCCTGCACCCACATGGATTGATTACAGGAAATCAAGGCCTTAATGACCTTCAGTGTTATTAATAGCATAGTTAAAGATATTTATTTACCACACTTGAATTACAGGGTCACTATGTCTCTTTAACACAATTTGTATCCGCATAACAACCTTTTAAAAAACTATTTCTTACATATGTGTTAAATAACTATGCATCAGATCTGCTATTGTGATTTAGTTTCAAACAATGTTTAAGCTAAATCGTATATTACAGAACCAGTTTAGTTGTGGTGTGGAAATGTTTTTTTCTTGTAGAGTTTATGGCAGATTTGTGCTAGCTTGTCCGTTCATGCAGTTCTACAATACATCCCATGCCAGTAACGAGATAAGTGCCTACTTCCAAACCAGGAAATAAATATGAGGCTATAACCTGTTCAAATAAATGAACCTGCATTGATTGGAAGGCATGATTCTCAAGACGTATCCATCTGTATTTCTTTGAATTGAATGATCCTCACTTGTACAGTAATTTTGTGCAGTGTGATTTCTTTAATAAAGAGCAATTTTTCTAACACTTTTTTTGTTTTCCAGCCAAAGTGACTCCAGTAGTTTCTTCTCCACGGGTAATCCAAGCAAAATCTCAGTCAACATTGAAGGAGACATCAAGTTCTCCAGAACCTATTGGAGAACCTTTATACGCATCAAGTCCCTCAACAGACAAGAAGAAGCCCAAATGGATACCACCAGGTATATGCAATGTGGTAACTGCAGACAAATATACCTATTTACATGTGTTTAAAAAGGTGTTCTCTAAAGTATTTGTATTTCTGAATGAGCACCTCCTCATCAAAACATGAGCTACTCCACTCACCTCTGTGTCCTAGAGTCACTTTTCCCACACAAAATTAACTTGCCCACTTCCTAGCTGCGTTAATAACTTTTCTCTTGAAAGGAAAAGGGTGCTAAAGCTTTTCCCAATAGCGTGGCCCAAATCTCAATATAGAGATTGTCTTGTAGACATTTCCTCTTTTAAGAGTTGTCCAGCATCCCTGTTGCATTGCACTGTTTGCTTCCTTACACCAATACTCGCCCACTATTATTTTTGTATTTGTAGCTGCCTTTAGTATGAGAAGTGTTTGGTCTTTTTTGGAAAACTTAGATCACACTGCTGCTGCCTCTTGTTTTTTCACCTTTCCCATCTGTTTTATTCTTCTGCATGTGGATCCTTTATGCTTGGTCCTCTTTCCTTGCATGTGACTACATACTCTCAGGTCCTCCTTTTCTACTTCACATGCTGCTAAATGCCTAGTCCCATGCTCCCCTGGATATTCATCCTCCAGTTATACGTCCTGCCCCTGCTGGTGGCTCTGAGTGGTAACTCACAGTTTCAGGCAGAGCAGACCTTGTGGGGGGAGACTCATAGTTTCTCTCCTTCTATGTAGCAGCAGCCTCTAGTATAAACTGCTAGGCTATGGGCTCGTTGTTCTCTGTTTTTACATATACCCTGCCTCTTCATGGCAATAAAGACAGGGTATGTATAAAAGCAGTTGATTAAAAGGGTGAAGGAATATAGTACCATGAGACCTGTTAATGCTCTGCAGAGCACCAGCAAGTGTACAGCAGACCATATTTTGAGAAATTCTGTATTATGGTAGCAGAGTGAAATGTGTTGGTGTCACTCTGAGGTTACATGTAGGGGGAGCCTTAAAAGTGTCTCCTGCAGATTTTGTATCCTTCTGCTGTAGCTATCAAGTATGTTCCCACTGGCAGTGTACCTGATTTTTATGTGCTTTCCTGCAATATTGTTCAGTAGGGTTACCATCCGTCCGGGTTTCCCCAGACATGTCCAGGTTTTTCAGCTTTAAATGGCCGTCCGGGGGGAGATTTCTAATCAAGTAGAAATGTCCGGGATTTCCCCCTTCCCCTCATGCAGAGTGCGGCGCGGCTGATTGGACGCCTGGCCTGATTGAAAGCCGCTCACAGCCACTAGGGCCTCTAGCAGCCAGAGTCCCTCGCCCTCCCCCGCACCCTCCTCCCCAACAGAGC